TAACTGAGACAGGGGAAAGGCAGATTGTGAGAAAGAAATATTGTCTTATAAACGACTCAGAGAGTGAAGAGATGTATAGTGATAGGCACTGTATTGGTGATTGGTTCAGTTCCATGAGATGCTTGAAAGTCTAGACATTAAGAAGTGGAAACTAACTGTGAACTAGGAAATAGGATGCCAGTGGTACAGGTGTAGACATCTTTCTGACATCAGAGTTAAAGGAGAAGCAGGAAATGAGGTGGCAATTAAGTAATCACTGCTGTCAAGATTTTTTTCTTTGCAAGACAGTCTAGGGCAAGGTCAAAGGTAAAGGTAGGGTTTAAAGAAAAAGAATCAGATTTTTTTCCAAGATAAAAATATCTGACAAAAATCTATAGAGTTTACACTGGGGCAGTAATGTGTACTTTGTAAACACACAAATTCTCAACCTCATACTAGTAAATAATATGTTTTAGAATCACTTGTGAATAGCTGGCATGGTCCCAGAATAGTACTGAGAAAACAACACCTCTGTTATCACGCTTTAGTACAAAGTCTACCAAATAATATGCATTTTTTGAAATGACTAAATATATACTTACATAGTGGACTATTCAGACTAGTAAGCAAGTAATAAATGTTCAAAACTCCATAACTACATATTCGTATAATACTCAGCTGCCACCTTCAATAGATTAAATACTGCGACTTCTCAGCCATGGCCCTCTAAACGATATCTGTAACAGTTTAAGTAGATCTTTTTAAAACCTAATCTTGGGGACCAGCAGGCGTCATAATGGTTACATTGCTGGACTCCCATGGAGTTGACCATGGTTCAAGTCCCAGACCCAGCAGCTTAATTAACTCTCATGCATGGTACATGTGTAGTGCATGCGTGCCCAAAATCCCAAGAGGAGACTGGAGAAGGGGTTGCAGTGTGCCCATCCACCCTACTGGATGATTTCTCACTTTCTGTCTTTCTATCTCTATCTCTGTCTCTCTGGGAAGCACACATGCCCTGTAGCAAAAATCTCTCTTAAAAAAATAATTAAAACCTAATCTTGAATATAGGTAGAAAAATTTTTTTACCTTTCTTATGTAGAAGTTGCAGAAATTAATATTTAGCCATTGTTTGTAAAACATTTTAGTGTTGAATATGATTATAGCATAATATTCTTTCATTGAATCTAAAATTTCTATTTAAGAATTAAATTAATCATAAAATAAATTATTAAAACCATAGGAAGACCATCACTTTTTTTTTTGTGGGGGAGAGGTTTTGCTATAGGGTGCGTGCGCTCGCCAGACAGACAGAGAGAGACATAGAGACAGAAAGCAAGAAATCACCCCCCAGGGGGGATGGTCATGCTGCAATCCCTTCTCCTCCATTCTCCTCTCGGGATCTTGGGCACGCACGCACATGTGCCCGGCGTGAGTCTTAAGCCACCGGATCCAGGACACGAACCGCGGTCGACTACGGGGGCATCCAGCGACATAGCCATTACGCTAACTGCTGGTTCCCAGTGGCCATCTGCTTTTAACAATTCAAAAATATGAACAAAAAAAGAATTCAAAAGAATACACATCTAGTAAAATTTTTGTGAGTGATTAAGGCATTTAATCTTAGAGTAGTTTAGCTATGTTTAAGAAATTCATTTTATCGTTTCATTCTTAGAATTTGTGAATAACTCTCATTACTCATTTTATGATAGAAAGTCAAAAGATCAAGCTGCCTTTTTATAATTTAAAAAGTCTCTGTTATTACTCTAGTAGACAGTAGACAGTTGAACATTTCTTAGCGCTCTCTCTGGGGGTAAAATAATTTTATTCCTTGCATTATCTCATCTGAAACCCTGTGTAGTAAAAGATGGCATGAAAAGAATAAGAAGTTGTGAGTCATTTTCAATGACCTCTTAATCATTCTGCCATTTTGTTTCACTACCATTTCAGGCGTAATAGTTGGCTATTGTACTAGGTTGTGGTTTAAAAATACAGTGAAAATAGTTAGCCATGATGAAGACAGTGTGGAATGGGGTGGGAGAAGAGAAGAGTATGGGGAAGGATGGCAAGAGAACAAATAGAGAGACATGACATTAGTGGGATTCAGATATGGATTATTATTACCTGTTGATGTGTATAGTATTCTCAACTGGACTGGTCTGAGAAGTATTTTATGTTGAGTAAAGTCTTTTTACCAGCAAAACGAGAAATAGTGATTAAATGTTTTAAAAATAATTGGAATAATAATAATCTGGAAAAAAATAATAAAAAGCTATTTGATGATAATGATGGGGATTTTAATGTCTTTGTATTGACTGATATTTATCGTATTCCTTCTGGAAAACGAAATGTAAAGTTATATGTGATTCCATGTAAAATAAACAAGATTATGATAATAATAAAATAAATAAATAAAGTAAAAGAAAAATACATACCTCTTGCACGGTTTAAGCAAAATAAAATCCAGCTCTCATAGAGCAATAGAGCATGTCTGCCTGATCGTTCTCGATTAGAGGAGACCCTGTATCTTTGCTATGTCTTTAGTACCCGGAGGTGGACTAATTTAATGTTATATATAAAAACATAGGAAAGGTTGTTTACAAAGTCAGAAAATGCGTTTAAGGCCCAGCTGAGGTGGTACAGGTAGAAGAACACTGCTCTAGGTTACTGGAGCCACAGGGGAGGCCCTAGTTTAAATCCCAGGGCAACCTGAGCATACCGGCTGTGACTGCATATGCCTGCACATGCCCATGATTCTACTAGCAAAGAGGCTGTGGAGAAGATTGTGGCGAGGCAAGACCTTGCCTAAGGTAACTATTTTTCTCTCTCTCACAAAAGAATGAAATAAAATAAACTTCAAAAGGAAATGCTTGTGCTTTCTAATAATCAGAAACCTTTTGCAATACCAATATCGTTCACTTTGCTCCTGCTTTAGGGAAGACATTAAGACTATTGGTAAAGATTCATTTCAACCACCCACCTTTTCTGTGAACATCTTCCTTTCTCCTATTCTCTAAGCCCTTTTTCCCAGTGATTCCTTTTCCTCAGTTTAAAACCACTTCAATGATCTCACACTCAAAACTATTTCCCTTCATCATATGTCTCCTGGCAAACTTT